ACATCTTTAATCATTTCTAAGATACAATGGTTCAAAGCTTAATCTAACAATTGGACAGTTTTGCTTTTACATGATTTGGACAATTTTGCTGTATATAATATGTATATCAGCATTCATTAGACTGTGTTCAAACCAAGACATTTGTCAGATTTTTTTTTTTTTTTTTTACAATTTATGAACACTTGATATATACATCTAAAACATATTTTGGATTGTAAGAATAATTCTTTTAGATATTTTTTTTTTTTTACAGAATAACAACCATTTTCCCAGAAACAAATCATACTATTTAACCAATAGCTGGGGAGAGAAGTGCCGGATTTGCAAGGATATTTTTGCACATACGTAAATGCAACACACCTGATTGTAATTAAAACACAGCTCAGCAATTTCTAATTTTAAGTTATCCATTACAGCACTTGCACACACTACATTTATCATAATAAAAAAAAAAAAAAAAAAAAAAAAGTGATTTTTTTAAAATCTTTTTTTTATCATTTTTGAAGAGAGACCCTGTTCATAACATAGCGTGAAATCAATCTCTAACTTCTTAAAGGGTTATCTGTACTTTGTTTTTCATTTACAAATGTAAAGTTTGAAACTGTGTTTAAGTCATTGATAACTACATACTGTTATGAATCAAGAGGAAAAAAGGACATCAGTGGTAAGCAGTTATCAATGACAAACACAGTTACAAACTTGACATTTGTAAAAAAAAAAGAAAAAAAATACAGATTGCTGAAGAAGTCAAGGATCAATTTGACACTGTATTTAGATTGTGAACATAACACTCAAAAATGACAAAAAAAAAAAAAAAAATCAATATTTATTTTATCTTGAAAAAAGAATATGCAATGAATGCTAATCCACCAAAACTTAAAAAATCTCTTCCCAATTTTCTTTTTTTACAACTGGACCAGTCAATTTAATTAGTGCTACAAAAAGCTGTAATTTGAGGTTTCTGCTATGAAGCAATTTCTTCGGAGAAAAATTGACATTTGCATTGTTTGTTTTTAATACATTTTCAATAAAGAGGAACTCTTGTTGTGTTGGATTTTGCTTTTATATAAAATGTATTCTATTACAAAACATAATAATACTACTAATTGCAATAATAATAATGATAATAATAATATTTATTAATTTTTAGCATTTGGTTTTGTAGAAGCCATCTTTTTCTGTCATATCTTCTGTTTTGTGTTTTTTTTTTGTTTTTTTGTTTTTGGAAGACTTTAAACATCACCCTGAGATGTCTGAAAAGAAAGCAGAGACAGGTGTGAGAGAGAGAGATTGACAAAATTAAACATTAAAAAAATATCAAGAAGATCTTTGGCCAACTGGTGAGAAACAACCACACTATAAATTCAAATTAAGTGTTATACAATGGTGGTGGTGGTGGTATCATCTGTGTTGCTTTCATCACTGGGAATAAACCAAGCAAGTTAGTATAATATGTTGCATTTTCTGTTAAACATCAAGTTTTGCAGAAAAAGAAAACAAAAACAAATTAAAATGAACCCTTCTCTTCCCTTAAAGGTTTCCCTCCTGAAGAAGGTTATAGAATGACAATTAAGCCAAAGAAATAAAGATTTAAATTTTCTGAACATGTTTAACCTCTTGGTACTACTGCTTATAAGATATGGTTTTGGAAAGCTACAACTTTGTAAAAAGTTGCAGATTTTTAAATATTTGTAGATTTCTGACACCTCTAGTTAAATCATTGCATATGGAAATAAAATATAGTGTAACCCAATGCAGGTGAATTCAAACACTCCTGAAACATAAGCATGTGAAAATTGTGGATGCATTTGGTCAGAAAAAAAGAAAAGACAATATATTTAAAAGAATTTCAAATTATACATTTTAGACAACAAAGTAAGTTTTGGAACTAAAATATTCTTTATTTCACTTTTACAAAAGTTCAGACAAAATTGACTTGACAAAATTTTAACTTCATGCCCACAAAACAATGGTGCATCAAAAGGATAGTTATTCCCTTGACAATGCTGTTGTTGTATATTCCTTTGACTCCATCAGCAATGTTTATGATTTTAAAAAGCAATGATTAAGATTTTAATAAAACCAAAACACATGAAAGTGGATTTATACATTTTCTTTATTTTGAGAATTGACAACAAAGATGTTAAACACTATTTATTTATTAGATTGCTTATCTATAAGAATAATTATATATAAATTTTTTAAAATATCATTTCACCCCAAGCAAGGCAATAAAGCCATTAAGATGCAAGGGGCTACTGAAAGTTAAAGAATATGAGTAAAGAAAACTATTAAGGAAAGAGAACAATAAAAGAACAGAAATTAAGAAGACAGATTATAACCACTGACATTGCATTTACAGTTTTGATGATTAAACTTGAGTGGGAAGTAAGAAAATGGAAGAAAGTTCCAAAAGTGAGAAGTGCGATAAAAGAAACTGTTAGCATAGAACTTATGGTTACATCTAGTCATTTGAATTGGAAAATGAGGAGACCTTGCTGCCAATCTAGTACTGCATTTAGGTGACATAGAGGAAAATTTATGAGAACAATTACCATGAAATTATCTATAAAAATGGCATAGTGAATCAAATGAAATGTTTATTATTTATCATTTTATAAAGAAATATGAAAATTTTTTTTTATGTGAACAAGAAAATTTAAATAAACACATAATGACAAGTAACTGTAATTATATATTTTGAAAAAAAATCTATTTTTCCAGGCATTATAAAATGGTAAATAATAAATATTAGTTTGTATTATTTCAGTTTTTTTAATCATTTCAGTCTAAATAAAGCAATAAAATTACTAAGACACAAGGGACTAATGGGAGTGAAAGAGAACAAGAAGACTTTAGAAGGAACCAGAAATCCAATCCTAAACAGGAAACAAGGGATAAACCTCTACTCCTGTTCCATAGATGGGGATGGTGTGTGAACCTGGCAATAAACAACCTTAGTTACTTCTACTTATCTTTTTATAATACTGTAAATAAACATTGCTGAGGGAGTCAAAGGAGTATACAGTAATAGCGATGTCAAGGGAATAACTGTCCTTTTGACACAATGGTTTTTTTGTGGGTACAAATGTTAAGCTTTGCCAATGATTATATATACAAATCTTGAAATGATAACAGAAGATTACAAAAGTACATGAATATAACAATTATAGGTTGACAAGTGAGTGTACTGAAAATACTTACAGGCAATTAATATTTAATAAGAAAATGCACATGTTATATGTTAATCAATCAAATTAATGATATCTGCATGTTTTAAATTAAATATTGATTTCTTATAATTCTTGTGCTGAGGGGGTTATCATTATTTACGCTATTTACAGTCAAACTAATGTCCTCATCTTTTCTGTCGGAATTTATCACTATTTACAGTCAAACTAATGTCCTCATCTTTTCTGTCGGAATTTATCACTATTTACAGTCAAACTAATGTCCTCATCTTTTCTGACGGAATTTATCACTAATTACAGTCAAACTAATGTCCTCATCTTTTCTGATGGAATTTATCACTATTTCCATGCAAGCTATTGTCCTCATCTTTGTTGTTGTTATCACAACATCTTGACCATAGCCAAGTGGATTAAAGCATTGCTTTGTGAATTTGATGATATTAATTGTAAGTTCAATCCCTAAGCCCCGGGTAGTATGTACTTGGATTCAACGGAAACAGGGTGAGCAATAACTGAGCATTACCAGAAATAAAAACTAGACGTGATATCATGGACAGTGGAACGAGGACTGTCTAACCCCGTAGATTAAATAAAGCATTCAGTTCCCTCTAGGTAACCCAGATTGAGATACAGCTGAAAAGGCCAGAGTTCACTACGTTTCAAACATTGTGATAAGAACAACAAAGATGAGGACAATAATCCACATCTAAATAGTGCACTCATGTTTGTTGTTGTTGTTGTCGTCGTTATCACAACATTTTGTCCATTTCATCCTCCAAACCTTGTTTGAGTGTCTTAATCCAGGTAACCTTCAGGAAATTTCAAACTGAATCATTAACTCAATCTATAGGACAGTGGCACCAAGGATTAAAGTGCTGGTTAGTGAATTTTGTAATTGGGAGTACAATCCCTGGTCCAGGTAGTACAGATAGACAGCGGAAACATGACTAGCAAAGGATTCAGTTTGATAATAAAATTACATAAAAATTTTCATTTATAACTTATACAATCATAAGGAGATGAATTATTTTTTACAAAGATTCCATTTTATTGGTAAAATATGTCAAGATAAAATCTTTTTAAGAAACTGTCTCTCTCTCTCTCTCTCTATATATATATATATATATATATATATATATATATATATATATATTTTTAGTTAATACAAATAAAAGAATTGTCACTTAGCTGATTGATGTTACCTTCAGCATCCCAACTCCAAGAATCACCCCGTCCACACATCAGTCAGGGGATATCAGCAACTGAAAGGTTTGGTGCAATTTTTTTTTTCCTCAGTACATGCGAATGAATATATATATTTCCTCTCTCACACACACAGTGCTTATTTAGTTCCTGGGGTGTGGCGTTATTATATACACTATTTCCCACCAGTGCGAGTGGTAGGTGTGTTTGTGTCAAGTTTTCAAGACAGGGTGTTTCTCCTTCATCTGGAAGGTTGACACACCACACACTTTCGCCCTGGAAATTCCTGGTCAGACATAGCTTAGTAAACACACAGTCATATCAGGTGTATGCAAATGGTTCTAGTTTTTTTTCATTTTTTATGTGATTCTTTGCTTTTCTAATGTGCATTTCATGCCTAGTTTTCAAAAAAAATAAATTCAAAAGTTCAAATGGCAATTGAGAACTTTTGCCCACAACTAATATTTATTCATTGAATATCAATTCAGACTTCAGATCAGAAGCTAACAAATTGTTCAGTCCAATAAAAAATGCCAAAAGTATACAATACCTTCCCTTGATCCCATTCTGTATCGTAAAATAGAATTTGTCTCTTTGGAAAGCAGTTTAAGATCGGGTAAAAACATATGAAGAGAATTTCCTGCAGCTAGATTGTCGTTCTAGATGTTCGTATAGTATTTTGAAATTCTGTAAAAGAAACACATCAGTGTTGCTAAAATCATTATTACAATAACTACAGATGACTGTTCAGAATGATGTGAAAAAGAGGAAGAGTTTTAAGGAGAGCCGGAACTACCAAACTCACATTGTTGACAATTAGAAAGAGATGGCTGACATGTTTGGAACACATAAAGAGGAAAGAAAGTTTGGTGAATTTAACACTCACAGGACACATCAAAGGCATGAGAAACATAAGAATTATCAGCTGATGTTGATTTATTCAAAACTATTGTTTTTATCTATTTTTATTTGTTATTAAAGACAGTATTTCCATCATGTACTCTCTGGCCATTTTCAGATGTCTATTCTTGATTCAGCAGGAATATCTATGAATTGATCCTGGTTTGTTCTTGGTAAATCAGTGTATGTGGATTTCACTACTTGATCAAAGGATTGAACCCGTAAACACTAGGTAGCTCTAACACTTAACCAACTAGGACAACAGATGATGTATTTTTGAAGCAGTTTAAATTCAATGTAAGATGGTTTTAATATTTGTTTATCCAGACAGATTTATATCACTTTGATGAAAAAAAAAAAAAAAAAAATCTTAAAGTAGATTTAAAGGCTCCAAATCTACACCACCTGATGTCTTTTGGGATGGTGTATATAAGCACTGCTTAAAGTGCTACAATTCTGTTTTTGTTTTTAATTTTTTTTTTTTTTTTTTTTTGTACTATTGTTTCCCTATTGCAAGGCCTAAGTAGAGAGCTACTGAATGAGTATGCTTGTAAGAAAATTAAAGGAGAGAGAAAGGGTTGCATATTATGAGGATATGTAGGATAGATAATGGTTGAAACTTGATCGAAGAGGTTAAGAATGTAGTGATCAAGAAAGCATCCACTCAGGAATCACATTCCGCATTGCAAATTACCGAGTGGTTATCATTTCAATCACTGGATAAGGCAGTGAAATCTATATAATCTGATTTAAAAACAGCTTAAAGAATTGGCGCAACAGAAACAAAATAAACTTACGTGGTGATATCTCAGCTGAAAACAGATAAAACATCGTCTCTATAATAACACATATAAAATTCCATTTATTTGCATAGTTCTCAGTGGATCTCCATTTCCATCCAGCTGTTTCTATTTTTGCACATAAAGTTGCTATATCTGATTTTATGATTCATGGTTTCATCCTTATTTCCAAATAAGTTACATCGACTACCCTGCTGTGTTGTCTTTTACCTACAAGTCTTTTTATATTGCCTTGCGTATGCAGATATTATCATGTGTATAAATTTACTATAGTCATACACATGTTGATATTCATTATAATATTTGGCCATCTTGCCTTTTGAATATAATCATTGGATAATTTGATGTGTTCATTCTTCAATACATTTTTTCTTTCTTAATAAACTGATGGAATATAAACAGGTTTTCAATATAACAGGGTGAAAGGATTATTAGTCTATCTGAGGGCAGTACAATAAGTGCTATTCCATTTTTTAAATTATTTAGGTACACTTTAATTGAACTATATTGAAGGACCAAAAAGATTTAATATGATAAAAGAATAAAGAAATAGTAATTATAGTAAGAATAACTTACATCAAACCAATCTTCACTTATGGTGTAAGGAAAATGAACTGAAAAAAAAAAAAAAAAAAGCATTTAAAATACAAATTCAATTTCAAAACTTCCATATTTATCCAACACCACAAATTGCTACAAAAACAAAAGCATCAATGTAAGGAAGTCAAGTCATGCTCATAAATAAACTCATCAGATCAAAACTTTCATATGGACATCATATATGGTGCCAAACTTGTCCAGAAATTTCTAAGTGTATACAACTGCTTTCTCAGATTAATAATTAAAAAAATGTTTTAGGTGATTGAACCATGTAGGTCTTACAGAGGACCATCCTTATTCAAACCTCATGGAGTTGCACTACAGAATCACAAAGAACTGTACTAAATAGTAGAAATTACATCACTTCAAGACTTTCAACAAGTAAAATGGATAGCATATGTAACTTGAAGAGAAAATAATGACCTACTCAAGATGCTGACATTCCACATTGCTTGAAAACAAAAAGGTTAGGAAAGAAGTCCCCCATCAATAATGGAAAGACCAATAACAGTAGATGTGAAAACCTATTAACCTGAAAAATTGTTTTAAGATAAAGATTTTATAAATTTCAACCAAAAGCAGCATTGGTCGCTTGGTTAATGTTTACTTATAAAAAAATAAAAAACAGTGAATATTACCATTATTTAAATTTCATATAATAAAATTGGCCATTATTTGATCTAATAGGTAACTTTAATTTCAAAAATAAGAAAATCTCACTTTCCTGTAAGATTATATTCTATTTGTCATCACTGACAGTCATTCTGCTTTGTTGCTTGAATAGACAATTATTAGGAGTAAATTTATTTTAACTCATTCATATTTTTTTTTGTTCTGTATACCATCACTTTAATAAGCATGATGACAGGCAGGGAGAATTAGAGTCATGCCTTTTTTTCCAATAGCATGATCATGAAAGTGGTGTGCATCTCAGTAAAGAATGTGAATTCAGTAAATTAAATTCAGTTCCAATATTAAATCATGGTCTGTCTATATTTATGAGATGAGGTGTCATGTACACTATTTACATTATTCGGACTATTGTCCTCATCTTTGTCCTTGAGGACACGTGGCACAGTGGATAAAGGCATTAGTTAGATCCAGTGACAGGACCCAAAGAGTGTGAGTTCAATACCCAGTTAAGGCAGTGGAGAACTTTCAGAGGGGAATTAACAGGAAATAACTGACATCCATTAAACATGACCCATGGAACTAGAACAGTCTACCCCAGTGAGCGAAATAAAAGGTTCAGTTCGACATTCCAACCACCTGAAGAAGGCCATGGCGTACAACAGCCGAAACGTTGTAATAAATATGGCGACAAGGATGAGGACAATAGTCCGAATAATGTAAATAGTGTAAATCATGGTCCTTGTATAAAGAAGTTAAAAAAGAAAAGAAAAAAAGCATCTGTTGGATAATTAATTCAACTGCAACACACACCATAACACACCCACTTTCATTCTGCACATGTTGAAAATTGAAAAAAAGTCAGATTTTTTTTTTTCTTTTAACTAAATAATAAATTGTAGTCCACTGATATGATCTGAAATATCTGAGTTTGTTACCTTAAAAGCAAAACTGGAACATTGTAGCACAATTTTTATTTGCACAATACTGTTAAAAATGATTTAACTTGAAGAAAAAGCAATTTCCAGTCTGAGCCACCAGTTTCCAAGTAATTTTCAACTAAGTATAAACTAAAAAAGGATAAGTTTTTCCAAGGGAGACAACTCCAAACACCAACTGCAAATTTTAAAACTTGTTTCCCTTTTTATTAAGAAAATTAACAAGAAATAAACAATAAGAATCCTTGAAGATTATTAATAATTAGTATTTGCAAATGATTATAATATATATAATTCTATAAATTAGAAGAGACCTAAAATTTAGCAATAGCTGTGTGCTAAAGGCAACATTTAAGCAAATTGGTTTGTTGTTTTTGTTTAGCAGCATTTCAACCCATATTTAATGCAAAAATCTAAATATTTGGTACACAAATTTTTTCTTTCATTTTTTGGAGATAACGGTTTAGTGATACATGTCCTACTAATTAACCCATAGCTGGGGGAGATGTGGATTCATACCTTTTTCAAGAGTATTTTCGCATAAGTGAATATAACGATCTCAACAGGAATTGGAACTCGGCTCTTTGATGAACAATTCCGAGCCATTATCAATTACAACACCCACACATACAAGCTTACAGCACCTGGTTTTCCCAAGTGGTCATCTACATACTGACGAGGCTAAGCATTGCTTAACTTCGGTGATCATATGGGATTCTTGTTTCAATATGATGTAGCAGTAAGCCTTTTAAGAAAATTAGTTACAAGGGCCTATTAGTAGCTTGTTCAAAAAACTAAAGATACCAGTTAATGCTTAGCACAGTGTCGAGTCTTCATGTTTGCCATTTTCTTTTTACATATTGCATGATCTTATTTTTGTAATCTGTACATGGGAGACTAATGTTGGTTATTGTAATTCGGCTGCCTCCTTCGCCAAGGCATCAGTTTTATGACTTCTCTTAATGCCAGTGAGCCAGTTGTTAACCGCTGCCCCTCCAAAAAAGAAAAAAAAAAAAAACAAGAGATCCAAGACAATATCCTAGCACAAAAAATGCCAACCACATCAGAGATTTTTTAGAGGCCAACAATATTTCCTTTTACACAAAAAATATTTACTAAATCTCAGAAGTGTATTATCAGATTTAAAAGTTTATATCTCCATCTCCTGGCCAACAATAGGATGTAAAAATATCAAAAGAGATGTACTGATTTCTCTAGAGTTTTCAAGGAGACAAAAGTTAAACTGAAGTTAACAAACTTACCAGTCTTATGAATCATAAACAATCTTCTCCAGAGAGAGGCGTCTCGGCTCTTATCATAAAGATCTTTGCACACAAGACTCATTGCCAAGAGAGAACGAAAGTCAAGGTATTTTAGAATTTTCAACTGAAAAGAGAGAAAAAAAAAGAAAAGAAAAAATGATCAGTAAATTATTTCAATATAAATCTTTATTAGACATTATTTTAATATATTCCCAGCCTGTCTTGTCAACAGAAACCTTCAAAATCTTAGCTCTTACTTTCAAGATAGAGTTTTGTATCAAACCTCCAGAGTATTCATTGCACTGATTTGAAAAGTCAAGAAAACCCCTTGAGGGTGTGTGTAATACCAAGGTGAAGTATGAAGATAAAATCAAAAATGTTTGTATGGAATTTTCTATCACATTATCCTATTCTAGTTAACTGTGTTAATACAATGTATGTATAGTAGGATATTGTATAAAAGAATATTAACACCAATAATCATGCAATAATTCTGAAGTTCTACTTTTAGGCACTTAATAGAAGTGGGAGTGTTTTTTTTTTGTTTTGTTTTTATTAAATTTGTGGAGTTTTACAATAGGCAGTGACGAGAAACAATCACTTTTTCCATATTACTATTGATTAAGCACTGTAGATCATGAATATAAGAATAATTTTTTTTTCTCTAATAAGCTTCATAATGCTGAAGGGGGGCAGTTTGCTATATGAATTCCTGATATAAATTGTTCCCTCTAAAATAACAAAAATAAAACAAAAAAAAATATTATTTTTAAGCACTCCAAATTATGAATTAAAAAAGAAGAAAAAAGAAAAAGGGTTGTTTTTGTTTGTTTTTTTTTTATACAAATTTTGCGAAAAATTTCTGGTTGCAAATGCCTCTTGTATAACTGCACAAGGAAATTTTCTGACCCTACTCCAAGCTTATTAAAACCACCCTGTTTATTAATTTCCCTCTTTTTGACACTTGAAATGATTTTCTGACCCCTTTTATTGAAATAATTTTTTGACAACCTCTGTTTATCACATATTGAAAAAAAATTTCTGAACCTTCCACCCTATCAACTAAAATTAAGGAGAAATTTTTGAACTGACATATCAAATTAGGGAGCAAGTAATATATTTTCTTTGAGAAGTATTATAAGTGTTCCAAACTTTCTTTATTCAAACTTTCTTTGGCCTTATCCAGTCTACAACCTTCTTCTTTGGAAGGAAAAACATCTCTTTTCCTGATGTATTAGATAACTGAATAGAGTACAAACAACATTCACAAGACAATGTTCAATTATCTGCACAAAACTGGGAAAGAAGCAAATAAAAATTGATTTCAGAAGGACTTGGACTTAAAGAAGAAGAAAAAGAAAAAAAACTTTAGATACAAATAAATTCTTATATCCATATTTCCCAATCCGCTAACTTCTAACAACAAACATTTTTAGGAATAAAAAAAAAAAAGACGTTAGAATATTTCACCACATATATTAAGCCCTTGAATTCAACCTCCCATTTATAACACAGATACAGTATTGTTTGTTTTTGTTTTAGAGTTCATCTTGCAAACTATAATATTTGATATTTATTAAATCAGGTATGCCCAAAAGTTTCCAGTTGCTTTTATTAAAAATATTTTTTTTTTTAAATTCAACCTTGTATTCAGTCTCCAGTTTAGAAATAAAGACAAATTTTCTCACTATTGTTATTTTTATTCCAATATTTCAGTGGCTATAATGTATGGTCTTTTTTTTAGCTTTCAGTCATATTTTGAATACAAGAACAGTTTTATATCAGATTTTTTTTTTTTTTAAATGGGGAATTAACATTATTATACGATTTTACTTTTGAACTAATATACTCAATTTGGTTGTTTTAATCCCATTCCAGACATTGTACTCTCTGGCCTTCCACAGGCATCTATTGTACTCGGTAACATTTTTGGAATTTTGAAACAGACCCTTAATCAATACACAAGTTAGACCGTTTACATTCCACGTTCCATGTTTAGTGGGAGATAACTCACATCAATTGATTCTCTCCAATCTATTCACTTTCGTTTTGCTGGTCAGGATTTTTTAAGCTGAAAAAACTATAAAAAGGCCAGAGAGTACAACACCTAAAAATGTATAACAAACGAGACAAGGATACTTATCTGAAAGTAAAGCTAGATAAAAGATACTCTGATTGGAGAAACACACAGCCCAACCCCTATATATCCTGTAGGATTGCCACACCTTGTTAGGTCATAGGACCTGTTTTTACCACACTGCTGATATATCCTCCTACAAAGTCAGTGAACAATGATCCACTTATTGAACTAACCTTCCAGGGAACTGAGAGTAAGCACTTTCTATTGATTGGATTATTTACAGTATTTGATAGAGGAATATAGGCTTTTTTGCTTCTTCTGTACGCGATCATGGCTCTCCACAATTTCCAGTCCTTTGTAGCCTTTAATAAATTTTCTTTGTTATCTCCCCTAAACCTTGCTCTGCCATCCATTTATTCATGATTGCTAATTAAGTTACACATTGTTTTCCACTGTCCCCCTCTTGCCTTCAATCTGTCCTGTAAGTATCAAGCCCTATTTCCTTATTATCTGCCCTAAAAATTTCAACTGTCACTTCCTGATGTTAAATATAAGTGTCCTTTTTGGTTCCTTTTTCTTTAAAACTATTTCATTGGTCACATGTTTGGTCCATGGTATTCTCAGCATCCTTCTGTAGAAACACATTTCTGTTGCTTCAAGTATCAGATTCAGGAAAAAAAAAAGTTTCAAGCATTCTTTGACAAATACTTTATTCATGCAAACATTTAGAACCATTAATCAAAGTATTTTCTATGACTTGTTGCTACTTTTCAGCTACCTTATATAAGCCCCACCTCTCACAATTTTTTTTTAAAATGGTTCAAAATGTACCAGAAAGGTTTTATGAACAAACTTGAGGTATCTGGTAGGCTATTTTTGACCCAGATGCTGCAGACCAGTACTTGTACCTAGCCTAACTCCATAATACTATAATATTAAATATAAATTGTAGTATTTTCTCTTATCAAATACAGTAAGCACAACATGTGTGCTGCTTTTTTTTTTAAATATTTAAATTTCCAATACTGTTCTATTATAATTATTATTGATTTTGTCCCATTAAGATTAGTATTGATTGATTGTTTTTTTTTCTATGTATTATGAAATCTTTGCAGGTTATTTAAAGCTAGAAAATATTTTTTATATTGCAAGAATTTTTTTTTTTGAGATAATAATTCTTTAGTGATACAAATCTTATTAATTAATCCATAGCTGGGAGAAACAGAAGGATATTTGCACACAAGTGAATATAATGAACCCAACTGGAATTGGAACTTGATTCACTGATTAACAATTCCAAGCTATTACTAATTACACCACCTGCACATCCAAGCTTGCAGTTATTTATTTATGTACTGACCAGGCTTGACACTGCTTAACTTCAGTAATTGTAATAAAGATTAATATGCTTCCCCACAAAGAGGTTCAATATTCCAAATGCAATAAGTCATATCAAAATCAAAATGGAGTTGCCCAATTGTCCCTTTCAAGCCTTGACAGTGTCTAAAAGCATTTCTGCAGCCTTGGGGATGATTGTTTTCCACCTTACAACCCCTTTCCCATAGACAAAATGTTGCAAGCTCCTCATTATGCCATGCCATGTACACAGATTCAACTGATACTCATTCCCTTTGTATTCTATTGGTAAGGAGGAAGTTCAACTATTTCTTCCTAAGAAATATTACTTTGTGGAACAGGCACCCAAAACGATGCTTCCCCAACCTCTTCAATCCTCAAGTCAATTGCTATCTATCCTACATATCTTCATAATATGGACTCCTTACTTCCTCTTTTTACACCCTTACAGCAACCTCATTCTGTAACCCTCTTCCTTGAGTGACACTCGGCCATTGTATTGGGTGTATAATAGTATTAAAAAAAAAAAAACAGAAATCTGACAAAAGCCATAAAATACAGGGACTGAAACATCATGATAAAGTAAACAAAAAGAAAATTTTTTCCAACAAACCAATATATAATATAAACCAATAAATAATATAATAGTTTATATAATAATAAAATATATACTCGAGTATAGTGTGAGATATTTTACACATAAAATTGCGGGGGGAGGGCGGAATATACACAGTAAAAGGTTACAGATCATGCATTTTTGGTAACCATTTCCCTATACACAGGTAAGTGTTTTCTGGAGGGGTTAAAATTAATTCAAAAAAAAAATTCAGGGTCACACTATACCTGAAGTCAGCTTATACACCAGTATATATGGTAGACTTTGCCTTGTAAAATTTGGACCAAAATAATTTAGTATTTACATTTAATCATTTTTATCAGAAAGCTAATAGTTATATCAAACCAAAAACAAAATGAAATTCGACTTAATTGAAATAAACACCAATTATTTTCTGTGTAAAGGATCACATGAATAGAAAGATTTATTGTACAGGATGCAATGGGTAAATTGCCGCCATTTTATATTTTTTTAACTTCACACACTTGCATTGTTTGTTTTAAATTTTGTCAACTGCACGGTATAGTAGGGTCAGTTGGGCACTGTCTGTGAGAAAAAGAACACCATGATGTTATGCCTCCATAACACAGAGGCCTACATCAAGTGCCTTGATGAGAGAGTGCTGCCCTGGGTCAAGAGGGTGGCTGCTGGAAGACTTTATGTCTTTGCACCATGCCACACAAACAGGAGAATCCAGTCATGGCTGTCAGACAATTTCTGCAACTACATTACCTCTTACATCTGGCCACCTAACTCCCCAGACTGCAACCCCCTTGAGTGGGGAGCAGTTGAGCAAGAGACCAACAAAACTCCTTGTAATACCAAAGATGAACTGGAGGCAAGAATTATGGCAGCATTCACCAACTTAAACAGATTTAGTTGTTTAGAGACTGTGGTTGAAGCCAACGGTGATTTTATTGAATAAATTTACTCTTTAGTATTTCAAGATATTTTTATGTAATTTTGTTAAATGTATCTTTAAAAATGAGATATCAGTATTATTTTCATTTTTGCATAATTTAGACGAGAATTTATTCATCGCACCCTGTATATACTTGTGTATAAAATTACT